TGAAAGCATTTATCGATCACCTAATCGATAAAGATGTTATCGATGAAAGCTTAGATAAATGGTAAAATCTTTATACTTGCTTTTTGTTCTGGTTAATTTACCATTTATTGATCACGTTATCGATCAGACATTAATTGATAACCTGTTTTAACATTGCATGATAACTTACTGGTTTTATCAATAATATGCTTTGTTTAAGTGATATGTCATGTGCCTTAATTGATCAATTGATAGATCAGTCATTTATTGATCAAATAATGTGCCTTAATCGATCAATTGATCGATCAGTCATTTATTGATCAATTGATCGATGATCAATCAATATCATCTTCCCTGCACTTATTTGTTTTAAGCCATTTTCAGATCACCCCATTGATCATTCATTTATCAATAAAATAATCGATCATCAAGTCATTTGAGACTTCTGTTTACACATAACGTGATCAATCAAAGTTTTTCCTAGCCTTTTTCTAAAATAAGACTTCAACAATTATTTATCGATCACTTAATCGATTAATCAGTAATCAATCATTTATTCGATCGTCATATATTCGGTAATTTCACTGTAAAAATCTCTTTGAAACTTTTTATCGATCATTTCTCCTATCAACTGTTTATCGATAAAGTATTCGATCAACACCTTTTGAAAACATATTTATCTTATACTTAGCTTTATCGATAATATGATCGATCAAATATTTTTTGATTATTTGTTCAATCATTTGAACCAATTCATTTAATAACAACAATACACAATGTTTTTCAAAATCTTCTATCTTTATCTTCGAGCTTTTCTCAGCCTTCCTGATAGACTTAACTTTCTTTTCAAAGGATTTCAAGGTAAAGATAATTTTGAAGTTTATTTGCACATAATCTTTTCAGACATCACTATATTCATTTCTCATCATTTATCGATCACCCATTCGATCATTTGTTGATCCATAAGCTTATCGATAAATATATATGTGTGACTCAAGCTTTTTCCTTATAATTAATTGATAATTTGATCAATCAACCAGTCATCGATTAAGACATCGATCAAGTAAGTTCAGATTATATTAAGGAATTGATGATTGATTCTATGCTTCCCTAACTATTATATGAATATCAATGATCATCACTTATTCTATTATCTTCATAATTTTTCTTCAAAAAGAGGACTTACTTGTTTCAAAGGTTGTTACAAATTACGAAGCAAGCTCAATGGTTATTTAGCAGCTCTTAACCTACCGTGTCATAAGCATTAATGGCGAACTACCGTTGTAACTATCGAACACACCCAACCAATCTTCCAACAGCTAGAAGCTCTTCAGTCTAACGGTCAATTAAACTTCTCCAACTATAAAAGGCGTGAAGAGCATCGAATGAAGAATTGAATATACGAGCTACCATCTGTTGAAATATTTATTGCTACATTCAATATTTTGTTTTTCACCGAGCTTCAGTATTTAATATTCATTTACCCTGTAAGAGTGTTTGATACACTTTTTTTACTCATTTTCTGAGAGTAACTCAAGAGTGTGGACTCTCGAGGGGATTATAACCTTAACGGTAGTAAAAAGGAGTGATTGAAGAAATCAATTACTGTACTGAGGCACTAAGAGCCTGTTAAATCTTGGGAACATAGTGGAAATCTCATAGGTGCTCTAAGAACTGGACATAGGTCAAATGGTTGAGACCAAACCATTATAAATCCTATGTCTTCGTTCAATGGTGAAATCCTCCTAACTCAATCTCCTCTGTTTTATTTACTTTACTATTTTATTACGTTAAAATTTTTATAACTCACCCAATTTACCCCCTCTTAGGTGAAGCTGCTACTAACAGAGTAGATTAGTTAATTTAAACAAAAAAAGTGGCATAGATCTATATAAAATTTTTACATATAACATAATTATAAATTATATATCAATTTATAAGTTAGTTAAATTAGTTTAAAAAAATAATAAATATAAAAACTAAAATGAATCAAGATTTTATATTTAAAATAAACCCATTTTTCAACTAACTTTTATATATTAGGGGTTGATTTCTAACATTTAAATCCAAACGAGCCTATTATAAGCAAAGAACAAAAATCCAAACTGAACCGACTGGTTCAATCGGTGAACCGATTAGTAGTCTGATTCGGTTTGGATATTAAACCGGGAGGGAGTTGAACTGGTAGCAAACCAGTCAAAGTGATAAAAACCAGTGTGAACCAGTAATAAATCAGTTTGAATGATTAGGTTGTTATTGGTTCTATTTTTTCTCATTCAGCTCCTAATATCTCAATCCCTATAAATTGAGATGAATTTTAATGATAATTTTGATATAAATGATTATTAAGTTTAGTTAATGATGAACTATAAAGATCAAATTCTCAATATTGTTGTACTTTGTTATTACTATTGTCATATTTCGTTATATTTTGTTATTAGTAACTATTAATATTGTTATATTTTATTATTTTTAATTAAATTAAATTATTTTGATATGACTAGTTGGACCTCGACTTGACTCCGATTCGACCAACTAACCTTTGAATCACTACCTCACTCGGTTTAGTGTCCGGTCCGGTTTTTGGTTTTTTGATTACAAGTCATAGCCATCCATTATTAGTAGTATAGTGATTAACACGAATACTTCCAAAATTAGATTCTATGACTAATGGGTCCCTCCCGCTACCTAATCCAGTCCTAACCCTTTAATATTATATTTTCCACCCAAAAATAAAGTAAAACGATAGCCATCATTTCGTTACTTAATTACTAATTAATCCATTCTTGATCTCACGTGGTTTAGTTCCCTCTATTGTCATCCTTAAATAATAATCATTCCGGAAAACTACTATTTTTTTGCCAACTGGAAAACCATTATCATCATTAAAAAAAATAAAAAACCATTTATTATATGAAAGAATTGAGGTCAAGTTTCTTATAGTTTTACTTATTACATCAAGTTCTCTCTAAGCACACATTGCTACGGATTTTTTTTGTTTCATGTGAATTTATAATTAAATATTATTAAATGTTAATGTTCAAAAAGCAAGATATATGATCTTGTGTGATTAAAGAGCTTGGAATCATAATAAATATATGAAAGGTGATGTAATAATATATATATATATTAAAACATTGTAAAATCCTGTCACTGATAAAGTATTATTGAGAGAAAAATCCTTCATCTATTTGCTTTTAGTTTACTCATTTCATTTCGTTAAAATGATAAAAATAAAAACAAGGAATAAAATATTAATTATTGTAAATTTTGTTGACAAATATTGAAACGCAATATGTTTTTATTTAACTATAAAAATAATAAAAAAATCGAAATATCCTCATCATCTAAAGGCAAATAAAGCCCACTCTTTTGGCTTTGCATCTCCGTCATATGGACAAACTGCCTTTTCTCCCCTTCCCTTGCCATATCTGTCTACTCCACTGCCCAAAACCAGACGGTTTTGGATGAGGAAACGGAGGCCGATCATTTTTTTTTTTTTTGGGGGGGGGGGGACCACCGTCCTTTTTTCTAAAGCATTTTTCGGTAGCGTTTGGCACGTTAAAATAATTTTTAATACACTTAAAAATATTTTTTTAGAAGTAGCCAATATTTAGCAAGCTGCACTTTATACTATTTTTTAGTAGCATTTAGTATCCTGAACTAATTTATTCTGAAATATTTTTTCAGTAATAACACCCAATATCCTAAAATTAGTTTATAATATTGCATGCTACTAAAAAAATACTGTATATCCAACTTGCTAGATAGGTGTTATTGAAAAAATATTTTGTCGTGTTAAATGTTCTAAAAATTATTTTAGGATATTGGATATACTAATAATACATCAGAATGATGGATATTAGTTTTTAAAAAAAAAGTGGTCAGCCTCCATCTGAAAAATATTTTTGAATGCCAGATGCATTAAAAATTATTTTAAGATACTAGATATTACTGAAAAATATTTTAGAGTAAAAGATATTAGTTTGAAAAGAAAAAAAGGTTTGATCAGCCTCCATTTTCATATTCACAGCTGTGTGTAATTTTGGCCGGAGAAGAGGACGGTAAGAGTGGAGAAGGAAAGCCATTTCCGAAATATCAAAACCAACATCAACCATGCTTGTTTAGTACTCCTTCGGTCCTAAATATAAGACGTTTTTTATAGTGTAAATTTACATTATAAAAAGAGTCTTATATTTAGGACCTGAGGAATATATTCATATTATCTTTTGAAAATTTTAACTGAGACTTTTTATAATTTATAATTATATGTCAATACAAAGAGACTTTAATTAATTTATTTTTTAATGGTTCTTAAGAATCAAAATCTTTAATTTTTGATATTTAGTTGAATTTTTTTCAAAAAAATTTGAAAGGCTTGAATTTTTTTAATCACTACTCATACGGTCATACCTTGTCCAAACCTTATCAATTGAGTCCCCCCCCCCCCCTCATTTTATTTTTTTTACACCTCATTACCAATTGGGCTCATGTGGCTAATTTATATTTTAAAAGAGTAAGATACACTACTATTCATTCATTTTTATCTTGATTTTAAAGACATTTACTTTATTTTTAAAACGTACACAAACCTCACAGCAAAATTTAAAAATTAAATTATAGAGTGTATGTAGGTTTTATAAACAGAAAAAAAAATACCTCATAATTTTAACAAATTTGAAAGACTTAATTTTAAAATTTTCGGATTGAAATGTTATTATGCTACTGTTTATTTAGATTTTGGCCAAAAAATGTTCAACGATCATTTTCTGGTTTGGAAATCTATCAATTTCAAAATGTTATTCCTGGGTGGGATCCACTAGGGTCAATGATTTGTCATAATTCCATTTAATACAAAATTTAATTATTATTCTATTTTTCCTGGAAAAAATAATAAATTCACAAAAATCACTGGCACACGCCTTTTTATGAAAGTTGATTTATGAATTTCAACTTGTTCCTCAACTTCATATGGCGTCATTGACAAACTGAATTCAAGTCTTTATTTTCTCCCAATATTCGCACCTAAAAGCGTGTCTGGGCAATGGAGATTCACCACCTAAAACTGGACCATTCCCTTCTCTTTCTTTCGTTTTCAGCGCCACACTTCATTGAAACTTCTTCATCTTCATCATCATCATCATCATCATCATCATCTTCTTCTTTGTCGATTATCACTCTGTTTTCGTCATACCCGTTTTCAGAACACCAACCAGAGACATGGGTCTGACACACAGAACTATACTTTTTCGTCTTCTATTCCCATTCTTCTTCATTCTCTGTCTCCTTACTCTGTTCTCACATGCAGCGAGTTCCATCACCCCACGCAAATTGATCAGAGACGGACCAGGCGGTGACACTTTACTCTCAGATGAACTCAATTTCGAACTAGGATTCTTCAGTTTTGATAAAAACAGCTCATTGAGATACGTTGGAATTTGGTACTACAGGATTCCCAGAGCAGAATACATATGGGTTGCCAACAGAGACAAACCCATCAAAGGCAGAGTAGGGGTTATAACAATTGGAAGCGATGGAAATTTGGTCATCTTCGACGGAGATAAGAATCCAGTATGGTCGAGCAACGTATCGAACTCCAAGAATAACACAGAAGCTGTTCTTCGAGATGATGGAAACCTTGTTCTTTCCGTCACGGATGATGAAAACGAAATATGGAGAAGCTTTGATCATCCAACCGACACGTTTCTTCCTGGTATGACCATACCGGTGGATCCTTCGAAGGGTGAGATTCGATCTTTCGTGTCATGGAAATCTCGCACAGATCCTGCTCGAGGACATTTCTCAATGGGAATTGACCCACGAGCATCAACCCAGATAGTGATTTGGGAAGGAGAAAAAAGGAGGTGGAGAAGTGGGTACTGGGATGGCAGAATATTCACAGGAGTTTCAAACATGACAGGAAGTTATCTCTATGGATTCAGACTTAACACTGATGGAAATGGAGAAAGGCATTTAGCTTATACCCCAATGAACATCACTGACAAGGTGAGGTTTCAGATAGGTTGGGATGGATTTGAGAGGCAATTCAAATGGAACGAGGGTGAGAAACAGTGGGTCAGAACACAGGAAGAGCCATATAACAAATGTGAGATTTATAACAAGTGTGGGAGTTTTGCAGAATGCAGTTTGGTTTCTCCAATGAAATGTGTTTGCATAAGAGGGTTCGAACCAAAGGAAGTGGATGAGTGGAATAGAGGGAATTGGTCTGGTGGGTGTAAGAGGATGACACCATTGAAGGCTGAGAGGAAAAATAACAGTAATAATGCTAGTTCTGTTGCTGCAACAGAAGTGGATGTTGAAGAAGATGGTTTCTTGCAGCTGCAATGCAGGAAGTTGCCTGATTTTGCCATCTTGGTGGGTTCTCAGGACAAGAAAGATTGTGAAAGTTATTGCTTGCAGGATACGAATTGTACTGCATATACTTCTGTTAATGGAATTGGATGCCTGATTTGGCATGGCGAGTTACATGATATTAAGCACTTTGTGGATGGAGGAGGAAATACACTCTATATTCGCCTTGCTCATTCTGATTTAGGTAAGGTTAAATACCTTTATATTTATATCTTCTTATGATCAATCAAGTTTTGTTTTAGAAAGCCAGTATATCAGTAAATTTTGTTCTATGTTTTCAATCAATAAGAAAAGCCTTGGTATTTCCGTTGTAGATTGTGTAAGTTCAAATTTTCCCTAGTGCGTTAAAGTTATTTTGGAAAGGACTTGTTGCCATGATTGAGTTCATGTTGAAAAAATTTCATCATCTCAACAGTCAATGGACCATTTTATTTCACTTCTGTTAATATTATTGTTATTGATGTGAAGGAGTATATCACTTTTTAATGTTAAGAATTTCAAACAATATCTTTCTAGTTTCTTTGATAGTCAGGTTGTGATTATTGTATATGAATTCTCTTTCTGCAAATAAAGGTGATGGCAAGAAGAAAATCAAGATTGTGATCATATTTGCTATCGTGTTGGGGTCAATCTGCGTCGGGATCTCTCTTTGGCTAGTGTGGAGGTTCAAGAGAAGAAAAGGTAAAACATTCATTTCCCAAATTATTTTCCCCCTCTGATGGAATTATATATATATGCTTCTTGCTATTCAACTTATGTATGCTTCTCCATTCTGTTTCTGCCGGCAGTTTCTGCAGTTTCATGCTGTAAAACAAGCGATATTCCAGTTTTTGATACTACAAGAAGCAAGAGCAGACAAGTTTCAGCAGAACTTTCAGGATCAGCTGAACTGAGTTTGGAAGGTCATGAACTAAGTGGACCAGAACTTCCATTATTCAATTTTGATTGTATTGCAATAGCGACAGACAATTTCTCAGACGAAAATAAGCTTGGGCAAGGAGGATTTGGTCCTGTCTACAAGGTGAAACTGCTTCTGTGAGCTTTCCTCTTTTCGGAATGTAAATTTGAATAGGATCTGATAAAGTTTTCTTCATTCATTTTAATAGGGAAAGCTTCGTGGGGGCGAGCAAATAGCTGTCAAGAGGCTTTCAAGAAGATCTGGGCAAGGCCTAGAGGAGTTTAAGAATGAGATGATGTTGATCGCCAAATTACAACATAGAAACCTTGTTAGGCTTTTAGGATGTTCCATTCAAGGGGAAGAGAAGTTGTTGGTATATGAATTTATGCCAAACAAAAGCTTGGATCACTTTTTATTTGGTTCGTTTTTCTCTATTTTGCCCAGTCTTTTATATTTTTTCTGTCTTTTCTGAGTTATTAGGTATTGAAAAAGAAAGCTAACTACACAGTTTAATGATGGATTGTTCTTGTATGTTTTTAATACTTCTTGTAGATCCTATCAAACAGCAACAACTAAACTGGACTAAGCGCTTTGAAATCATCGAAGGGATTGCAAGAGGGTTGCTTTATTTGCATCGGGATTCAAGACTCCGAATAATTCATCGAGATTTGAAAGCAAGTAACATTCTTTTGGATGAAGATATGAATCCAAAAATTTCAGATTTTGGACTGGCTAGAATATTTGGAGGAGGTCAAAGTGAGGCAAATACTACTAGAGTAGTTGGCACATAGTAAGTATGCTTTTGATTTTCCCTTCAAACCAAACCTTTCACTTTTAAATCCTTTCTTGGAGCTAGACTAACCTCAATATAAAACCATGAACTTGCAGTGGCTATATGTCCCCTGAGTATGCAATGGAAGGTCTATTCTCAGTTAAATCAGATGTCTATAGTTTTGGTGTATTATTACTTGAGATTGTAAGCGGTCGCAAAAACACCAGCTTTCGTCATTCCGATGACTCAAGTCTCATAGGATACGTAAGTAACTCTATTCAAAAACTACTTACAAACTTTTCACCAACATGTGATATAGCATTGGGAAGTTGATAACATGTTTCTTGAAGTTATCACCTTGTGTAAATTCCTTCTGTGCAAGGAGAGTCATTTTCAAATTGCATAGCTGAAAGTTATATGATGGAATATGCACAGGCTTGGCATCTTTGGAATGATCACAGAGCAATGGAGCTTGTTGATCCTTCGATTCTCGATTCGAGTCAGAAGACCAAGGTTTTGAGATGCATACACATAGGGATGCTGTGTGTGCAGGATTCAGCAGCTCATAGACCAACAATGTCTTCTGTGGTGTTGATGCTAGAAAGTGAAGCAGCCAATCTTCCTTTGCCAAGACAGCCTTTGCTTACTTCCATGAGAAGACGATCAGAAGACAGAGATTTTTACATGGAAGGTCTTGATGTTTCCTTGAATGAACTTACAGTTACAATGGTGGTAGGAAGATAGAACTATCTGCATTTAACTTTCCTTTTGTATCAGCTTTGTTTGCTTTTCACTTTCTCTCCATGAACAAAAGCAGGTACATATATATACACACACACTATATTTCTTTTCCTTTCATACTCTCCTTGTAACTGACTTCAATGTATATATTTATCCATTTTTGAGACTATATATCAGAATTTTGTGAGAGATAGTTTTAATTCATTTTTATGTGTTACGCTATCAATTATGTGCAAGTTAAGCATAGACCTAACAAGTTCAAGAGCGCTTACGAAAATACGTACTCCTCCGGTCCTTATTATAAGACCCAATTTGACTTTTTATTTGGTCCTAATTATAAGACCCAATCTATTTTGTCTCTTATATTTATGCATTTTTTTCCAAGATAATCCTTCTAATAATGATAGTTTTAGCCAATATACTTAATTAGCAATGATATTTTAGGAATAACAACACTTATTTATTATAAATAACCAACTTAACTTACTTCCTTAATCTCCTCAAATAAGTCAATTGGGTCTTATAATTAGGACCGGAGGAGTATAAATTATTTATTGATGAGGTTTTGACATTAGAACTCACATTTTTCTGTTATAAATTTTTATCTTCTCAACTTGACATCTGGTTTAAATTTTAAGTTATAGGGCATTAACACACTAAATTTATTTAAGATGTTCATAAAAATGACAATTAAGAACCTTATTATGTCAGTAATTCCAATTACGTATTTAATTATAAAATTTTATTGAATCACCACTAAAGACCATCCAATATATACTCAATTGGTTTTTTTGGTTTTCCCACGTGATCTGTTTGAAATTTGTAACTATACGCGATTTGAATAGCCAAAATAAAAATGATTAATCGAAATAGTTAGATTAATATAATGATTAGAAATTAGAATTGAGACCAATCAAGGAACTTCATAATGATTATTCAAAATTGGGTAGACTTCGTCTTCATTCATTGAATGTATCTTATTATTATTCCTTTATTCCATCAACCAAGAGGTAGATATGAGAAGTTTATTTTAATCTTAAAGCAAAACCTCGATACATATTGTTCTCCATATTTATTTCTTTTTTCACAAACTATTTTTATTGATTGAACAAAAATTACAAAATTGATTATTTAAAAATTGAATATTAAAAGTGTTAAGAATGGGTACCTAAAATACGAAAAATGAGTGATAAAAAATTAGTCGTAAAATATTTTAAGGGCAAAAATGAATTACAGAATATTTTAGTTAACTAGATGAACTTGAAAAAAAAATTTCAAGATATTAGATGTACTATAATCTTTTTATTGTTATTATTATGCATACATAATCTCGTAATGTAAACAATCATGTTCAAAACCTTATAAATGTAAACACTTCTCTTAATAAAAATTAGTCCCTTCTGCTAGTAATTTGTTTTTAAGAGATAGTAATGTATCATAATGTCAAATATTTTGGATTTGCTTGAATTTCCTATCAATAAATACATTAATGTAAATTGAAGCAAATTTTTTTTCACATATTTACTATGTATTTTGTAAATTCGAAAAGTTTCTTATAGGCAATTTCAAACACAATCTTTTTGTTGATACAAAAGCCCTTTTTGTTTTTTAATAGAAACCAATGGTGCTTTTGGGCTTTTTATTGAACGTTATTGTGACAATTAATAATAATGGGACAAGAGGTAACTCAAAATTTATTAGCTGAAAGATCCCAAAGAGTTGGCAACCAAAAAAAAAAAGGAGATTCGCCGAAAAAGGACACATCCCATGAGCTATTGGGCCTAAATTTTAATCCCATGTTTTAAATAATGCTCATTGGAATAGTGGAAGAATAATAAACCGTTTCTATAACTTACATAAATTATTTATTCAAATGAATAATTAAAGAGTAAAATACGAGGACCTTCAGTCAATTTTATTAAAATTTCACTATATTCTGACTTTAATATATATATTTGTCTCACTCTAATCAAAATACATACTATATATATACACACTTATCTTACCCTTTGAAATATTTTTGGGACCCGTTTGACCGTTAGAATCAATGTCTAATCAGGTCCACAAAAAAAGAAGAAGAAAAGAACCAATGTCCAAAGAATAGATAACGAATTCTCGTTGGCAAAATAATAATAATAATAATAATAAATAACGAATTCTCATGGTTACATTCGCTTTTTTTTTCCCCTTTCTTTTTTTTATTTTTTTATTTTTTTTGCCCGCCCACGCATGGTTACATTCGTTTTGACATTATGTATCATTCTCATGGAAAAATCCAATGGGAATAGACATATATCTCATGAATCATGACTTCCTACCTCATGATGAATCATAATTACCCTGCTCCCTCATAAATATTATTGACCTCTTTCCCCCTATACATTCTTAGCCATTTTATATTTTGTTTTTTTCTCCTTTCTTCTCCACTTCCGTCTCATCCCTTCCCTTCTAGTAAGGGTGTTCAAGACTGGCCCGTTCCAGTAAGTCCGTTTCAGCCCCGACCTTATTAGGATGGGACGGACCCGTCCTGAAATTTTTCAGGACAGGACAAAAAAGGGACCAAGACGGGATTGGAGAGGGGACGAGGTCATCTCATCCCAGTCCCATCTCGGTTTCTTTTTCTTTATCCTATTTATATGATATCATTTTTCTTATTTTTTTTTAAAGATTTGAGACTATTGTATGGAACTATGGATATATTTATTTAGAGCTTTTATATTTGTTAATGATTTGAGGTTATTAATGGTTAGAATTTTAGCAAGTTTTTATTGTGTTAAAAGCTTTTGTTTAGAGTTTTTAATGATTATTATATGTAATATTTTGGGCTTTTGTTTAAGAGTGTCCAAACAAATAAAAAATAAAATAAAAAGATGTTTTTATAAAGCCTAAGCCCAAAAAAACTATAATTAAAAAAATCAGATTTTATTTAAAAAAATTTAAAAAAATTAAAAAAATACATCGGGACGTCCCGGATCCGTCCCGTCTCGACCGGAACTGGGACAACACCGGGACGAGCCGGGACACGGGATAGATTTTCTGTCCCTTTACTGTTCATCGGGACGGAATCGAGACAGACCTATCCCAATCTCGATCTGTCCCATGAACAGCCCTACTTTCTAGCAAGCAAACAAGCTCTTAGAAATTATACTCGATAATATAACTTGGAATACGGGCTAACTCGCGGGTTGCAAGCCAGCCCGTCACAACCTGAGGGTTATGCGGTGTGGGTTAGAGTAACCCGCATTTTGGTAGGCTAGAAAAATCATAACCCTAACTCCCCACAGCAGGTTGGTGGGCAGGTGGCCAACCGGCCATCTTTCTTTCTTTTTTTTTTTAATTCTCAATTTTTAAATCTTATTTTTATTTAATTTTTTAAATCAATAAATGGTGATGTAAAATTTTAAAAGCAATCACAAGTATAAATTATGTTTAACCACACTTAAAATAGTCAATACAAATATAAAACAATACATTACTACATGATTAATATTTAATATCAACTCATCAAGTGATAAATTTTATAATTTTTTCCATACAAACGCAATGTTTGATACAAAATACTGTCTCTTAATAAATTAGAAGTGCATTTATTATCTAATCTTTTTTAAAGTTCATTCACCATGTTTTTCTAAAACACTTTTTTCCCGTAATAAATATTGTCTTATATTTGATTATAGTTATTAAATTTTTTCTATAAATATAGTATGCTTAGTTTTAAACAATATTTTTTTGTTTACATATGTATTATGTAGCATGAAAATTGAAATGTAAATAAGAGAAGAAAATTTTTAAATATAATAACATGTTATTTATGTGAATTTTTTTAAAAAAAATAAGGTAGCGGGTTAGGTGGGCTAACCTACCAACCTGTAGGCTAGCCCGCCACAACCCATGGGTTATACGGTGCGAGCTAGAGCGGCTAGCAGGTTGGCAAAATGCCAACCCTAAGCCGATCTTTCATGGCGGGTTGGCGAGCTAGCCCACGGGCTCCAACCCATATTTCCGGTTCTACTCGATAGAAAATTAAATAGAAGAAAGGTAGAGAAATGTGTATCGGGTTGCATCCATATTAGGGTTAGGGTCAAATTTCTCCAAGCTTTGGAGATCGAAGCACCCACAAAGAGAAAAAGACAGAGAAGAGAAAGCTAGATAACTCTGTGATTGGGGCGAGGAGGAAGTGAGAGAGATACGTCCTACATATATATATACTACCTCCGATTTTTCATATAAGAACTAGTTGACTAATTTGAGTTAAGAAATTTTCTTGAGTTAGTTATTTGTAATAATTAGGTGTTGTCTTTCCTAGAGTGCCCTTGATAATCATGTGCATTAGCTAAGAATAATCATTTGATGGAGTCTTTAACATATGCAACTACTACAAGGAATACTTTGAAAAAAATGGTTAAATACGAGAGATAAAGTGGATTGAAATTATATTTAGGATCAAATTAAAAATTAAACCAGCTTGTATGTTAAGGACTAGAGGAGGTATATATGAATGTGTAATTTCTCTAATTTATTATAATATTATTTTTTGTTCGCCCCTCAATCAACAATCTCAAAATTAATGTTGATTAATTTTCTATTTAGTCATCTTTCTTATTCCCTAATTCTCGCATAGGAATTAATGATTATTTATTTCTCATTTAATTAGGTTTCTCATTTTCTCTAATTAAATAATCCAACTAATCAAGGACGGATCTAAACATGAAATCCAACAACAATAAATATCTATATCTATCTCCCACCCTAAAATCAAAGTTAAGAATAATTTTGTCCGTTACACTCTATTATATAAAAATACTTGAAAAATAAACTAAAATCAATTTTTTCCTCACTCTAATAAAAACCAGCAATGTCGCTAAAATGCCATTGCTCTTTTTTCATTTAACCGGAAGCTAAAAGTTCTTATAGTGACTTGTAAATTCATGACACCCTCGTATTGGTATTTCAATTCCTACCAATGTTTTGCGCGAGATATTTGTATGAACGGAACACCAAAAACCAAAATCACCAAAAATACATGGTCAAAAGGCAATAAGAAAACCATTAAGAGAAATAAATATAAATTGATATACATTGAAGATTTACAGAGAAATGGTATATAAACAATAGAAATTGTGTTTATCTTGTTACTAGAGTATATTCATATTTGAATAAAAATGAAAATTAATACATTATGTCGTGTGTGCAATATTGGGAGGATGGGGTAGTTACTGTGCTCACTACAAGACATGGACCTCTGTTATGTTTTCTTGTTTTGTTTCCTACTAAATGATTCTCATGGGCTTATTATAAAAGGGCGGAGCCTCAATTGTAAATTGATTTTCTATTATTCAATAAGACAGAGTATTATTTGTTTATGTCCAACAAGCAATATGAAGGGCTTCATACCATGTGGTTTTTTTTTTTGGGTGAATCTAAAGGACTGCGTAAAGACACAGCTTAGTATTGTCTATGGCTCGTTTATTTTGGTTTAGAAAAACCATTGGAATCAAAAGACAACGTATCAGTTGTGTGTGTGTGTGTGTGTGTGTGTGTGTGTGTGTGTGTGTGTGATGGTTTTTTTTGACAAAAGTTGCGAGATCTCATTTTGTGGACCATGAGTGATGAGGAAGAGGGAGTTATGGAAATGATGGCTTGCTTGGGGTGGAATTAAAGTCATAATAACAAAAGAGAAAAATCAACGTTGAAATCAGAGTATAAGATATTTAGATGTAGTTGAAATATAATTTGAAATATAAACGGCCAAGTATAAAATTATTTAAAAGTAAAAAATTTAACCCATTGTATCATTTTCCCGGGGGTGAAAAGGTTAGACACTCTCACCAAAACAAGGGCCCAAATGGGTAGTGCGTCACCGACAGGCAACTAAGTTGTGTATAACTGGCTAGTTTTACTGTCTGTGATTTGTGAGTATGTCCGACTCTTTGCCCAAAATCTTGTCACAAAAAAAAATAAAAGAAAAATAAAAAGAAAAACTGTCTTTGTGTTGGGACACTGTCACAAGCCTAACTTTTTTTTTCCTGCATAGACTAAGCCTAAAAATATATTAAAAATTAAATAGTGGAGTTTTAACGTATTTTACCTGGCTCAAGTGATCAAATTTGAAATTCGAAAACTCTCACACTCAATTGGGCCAATGGATGCCAAACCGAATCGGTCTGATCCATATACTGATCCAAAAAATCTTCGAAGTATTGGCCTGCAATGGAAATAGCTCTGGACTAACACCCCAACCGAATTTTCCTCCCTTTTTCCCAAGAGTTTAAAATTGAAGTTAAGAATTTTCAAGATACTGAAAATTACATCAGTCATTAAATCTGTTGAGACAGTAATTATTTAGGAGTCAAGGGTTTAAAAATGTTCTTTATAAATAAATATTATATAGTGCCAAGTTTTCATGGTTTAATTTTTTTTGGCCCACGTTCATGGTTTAATTTTTCAAACAATATTATTTTTTAATTATAAATGTGCATTTTGGTCTTTTATTAACATTCAGGACTTCCTAAACTTGTCTCTTGGTCTGATTAGTAATTTATTAAAAGTGTAGGCCTTAATATGAATTTTAGTATTTTGATTGGATTTAGTTGGGATTCTTCCTTATTATTAATAGTGGAGTCATATTTGAATAAAAATATGACTTGAGTTTGCTGACATAGCATAAAAAGTCAGACTTAGCTAAATAGATTGAATTTTTGATATAGGATGCGGTAAAAGCAGGAAATATTGAAGCTGCTTACGAACATCATTTATCATCCACTTTGCTTCTTTACGTTCAAAAGTAGAAGGGAGGAAAAAGAAAAAAAGAAAAGAACTTCCAAAGAAACAAAATCATGAAATCATTTCTTTTAATAAAACAGCAATTGGAGTATTGAAGAACAGAGTAGTGTAAAAAAAGGAAACATTGTCAAATGTGATAACAAGAAGATCACTTGATGTGCAATATTCAATACACACACATTGGTTTGCACATAAACAATAAATTAAATATAGTAATTATGCAAATTAAATATAGTTACAACATCATCAAACGTGGCCCCTAATTATATATGCCACAGTGATACACACACAAAGGGCCAGAGACCAGAGCAGCTGAAAAGAATGAAAGGCCAGAAAGGGAATATGTTATAGAGCAAAGTGGAACCTGAATCAAATAGCTACAAAGCAAAGAGACTAGCTCACTCAGGCTTCCAACAACTCTCTCTTATTTAGCCTAACTAAATTTACTTTTTCTCTCCCAAAAAAAAACACTGTACAAAGTCTCAGAATTTTTTACTTTCGTTATTTCATATATACCAAACACAGTTTTCACTTCCCTATGAGAAAGTCCATCTTCCCTTTAAGCACTATGAAACGCATGGTAGTGAGTAGGTATGCCTCATTGTTGTATTTTTTTTGGATATATTAATTTCATCGGATAGTAAATAACTATTTAAAAATTCTACAAAATACACACTGACAATCCATAACCATAGGATAAATAGATAACATATCAAGTGTATCAGAACGGGTAATCCGCAATAAAGGGAAATGACATGAAACTTGGAACTTTGAATGTTCATAATAGCGTACTTATCACGATGTTGCACTAATATACAACATTCACCATGTCTTACCTCACAAGAACGAAGACTGATGGTGAGAGAACAGGGCAATCTGATATGGTCGACCAAGGACGAAGGAGGGAGAGGGAGGAGATTGCGGTGATATGTGATGACCGATCGAAGCTGTGACTTGTGAGCTTGAAGTCTGAACTTTGCAACGGCTAAACTAAGGAGTGTAGATCAGAACTTGCAAGGATGTAGGGAGTCATTGAGATTTAAGCTGCAATCGGCCAACCGCCAACCTATGAGATTTAGGGCTTGAGAGTTCAGAGATGGGAGTCATTGAGAGTCTGAGAGAGAGTGATAGTGTGAGTGACTGAGTGTGAGGGTGTGAACTGAGGTGAGGTGGAGAGGAGTTGAGTGTGCTAGTGTGGGTCCTGTGTGACATGGAGTCAAAAGAAAATAAGAGTGGGTTGGCAGAAAAATATAAAAAAAAAAGTTTTTCAAATATTTTGGTTATTTCAGTGCTAACCGAATTATTTTTGAGGACACTGAACAAAACACTAATAACCGAAATACCCGAATAAAATAACCCAAAAAAATAAAAACTGAAATAACTGAATTGTGTTCCGTTGGGTTTTGAGTTCTAGTTCGGTTTTGCTTATCTCTAGTTTTATTATCTTTGACTTGTGGGTGTGTCCGACTCTTTGCTTAAAATCTTGTCACAAAAAAATAAATAAAAGAAAAAAAGAAAAGAAAAAACTGTCTTTGTGTTGGGACACTCTCACAAGCCTAACTTTTTTACCTGGCTCAAGTGGTCAAATTTGAAATCCGAAACTCTCACACTCAATTGGGCCAATGGATGCCAAACCGAATCGGTCTGATCCATATACTGATCCAAAAAATCTTCGAAGTATTGGCCTGCAATGGAAATAGCTCTGGACTAACACCCCAACCGAATTTTCCTCCCTTTTTCCCCAGAGTTTAAAATTGAAGTTAAGAATTTTCAAGATACTGAAAATTACATCAGTCATTAAATCTGTTGAGACAGTAATTATTTAGGACTCAAGGGTTTAAAAATGTTCTTTATAAATAAATATTATATAGTGCCAAGTTTTCATGGTTTAATTTTTTTTGGCCCACGTTCATGGTTTAATTTTTCAAACAATATTATTTTTTAATTATAAATTTGCATTTTTGTCTTTTATTAACATTCAGGACTTCCTAAATATGTATCTTGGTCTGATTAGTAATTTAGTAAAAGTGTAGCTTTTAATATGAATTTTAGTATTTTGATTGGATTTAATTGGGATTCTCCCTTATTTTTGATGCTAGAGTCATATTTCAATAAAAATAAAAATTAAAACATTATGCCATGTGTGCGCAACAATAAATATGAGGGGGAAAATAGAGTGAGATAGTATACAAATAATATAACAAAGTATTTAGAGCAATAGTACAAGCGAGAGTGCACATTGTTATGTAAATTGTTAAGGTGACTGTTGAAACCATGGCTGCTCTTCACGATCTCCGTTTAGCCGTACAAGTAAGGAGGCTAGCCAAACAAGCGAAATAAGACCTCCACCTTTAGAAAGATGTTGGGCATGACTACTTGGCCTATTTTTCTCTGCTACAAATAGCAACATTTGAACCCATACCATGCCTATAAATTCCCATTTCATGTCTGGTGGGAATTCATCATTTAGCTCTTCTGCCAGGAGACATGCACCACGGAGAGTAGGAAGACCCGATCCCTTGATTAGATTAAGAAGACGTATCCGAAGCTCATGATCTCTTATGTTTGGATCTTCCTCTCTAATAAATGGAATGAGAGCAGAATAAATACGCTGAAACTCCGACTTCTGTGCAAATCCTGGTACTTCTGACATCATATTTGGTTGCATGAGTAGAAGGTATAGCATGTAATCTGAAAGAAGCTTGACCAAATGACGCTTATTAGCAGCAACATTGTGTTCATCATTATCATAGCAAAGATCAGTACTCAAATGCAACAATAAGATCATTTCATCAAAAGCATACTCATTGTCACCTATCCTATGAATGATAAATCCTTCGAGAGACATGAGTGCACCGGCCACCTTCGCGTAGTGTGCACGGGATTCTATTCGCGTGTCTATTGCAGCATGTATTCTTCCCCGCAAATCATCATTACGCATATTTGGTAGTAAAGATGTCAGATCAGCCAAAATGAACTGCCACAAGTCTAAAAAGAATGGACTTTTTACTTTGTACTTCAACAGCTTCAGGTCTTTAGCACCAAAATAAGGAGCAATTTGATAGAAAACACCTTCTAGAAATTCCACCAGTTTGAAGTGCAAATATTGCTTCTTGGGACGACCCTCGCCAAGGCAGATTTTGATTAAATTGAGCCCTGAGATTGAACCACACCATCTGCGAAATAAGAATGGAGTAGACAGTTCTTCAAAATCGGTGTAAGGCGTGTTCTTACATTTAGAGAATCTTGATCTTTGAAGGACAAGGATAGGCTCAAGAATCTTGACTTGACAAAATTTGATGGCACGACCCAAATATGAATCGTTCTGTGAAGATTCATTTGAAATGACAAGCATCCATTCAGAGAATATAAGCCTGAAGACAGAGATTGTTTCAAGGAACAATGCACCGTAGAACAATAAATAGGTAACTGCAGCATCAGTTTTGTCAAACTTGTATAAATGATCCTTTTCCATTGAAATGAAAAGCCCCAAGGCTACCACAACAGAGCTGAGAGCTGCAAAACGAGCAATGCATGCGACCTTGTTACGTAAAATCGAAGCCTTAGTATAGTACAATTCATAGGTGAATTCACAAAACACCTCTGTTGAATTAAGAGCTTCAATGGGTGATTGATTAGTATGTGGCCAGAAGTAATCACGATATTCCATCAGTATATCACCAAGAGGCCCCACATCAATTAGGCGCTTGTATGAAAAATCCAATCGTTGTTGTCTTGTAAGTTCTTCAATAAGTTCCTTTGTGGTCTTATTAGGTAATACAGACTCTTTAGATTCTTCCCCTAAAATCATGTTACTTGCAACGTACAAAGCACAAGTCCTCTCAGAGTATTTGATGATTCCAGCAACAAAAATGAGGAGTGTTGGAGCCCACAATCTGTTTTGTGGAACAGTTACGACAAACACATAAACCAATGCCAGAGTCTTAAACAACAATCCAGGTATTTGTCTTAGCCACAACAGATTGTCTTCCAAATTAAGAGCAGTTATAGTGTCAGGGCCTCCAAAGTGTAACAGTAGAAATGGGGCCCACAATGCCATCAGGTTATCCTTAGCAGTATCGTTATTATTGCCATTGTTGGAAGTAACAAGTCCAACACTAAAGTTGGCAGCCCAATCAGCAAGCAAGTAAGCAGACCAAATGGCAAATCCTACCAGCATGTTGTCTGAGCGTTTTCTTGATGGAGCAAATAAGACCAGAAACATTTGGATGAAGAAGCTTAAAAGAATAGCACCTCGGACATTCCAACTCTCCCATATCTTCTCCACTCTGCTGGGAATGATAGTAACCATATCTTCTCTCTCTCAGAGATCTGAAAAATTCTGAACTGTATAACTTACCCAACACTAAAAGATTGGTTAAAAAGATGTGTTGGAATCTAAATTGGTGTAAAAGTGGACTCCTAATGTTACTTCATTGCAGACTCGCCAAGATGGGGATTCAAGTGGGTTTTAGGAATTTGATCAAACTCCTAGTAGAATATGAAGGGCTTGATATTATGTGCTTCTTTGCGTGGTCAATCTTAAGGACCGCCAAAAGTCACAGCTTAGCATTTTAAGGTCCTTGTATTTTGGTTTAGAAAAACACTTGGAATCAAAGACAATGTCATGTGCAAAGAAGGTTCTGAGACAAATAATGATATAGAGGGATGTTTATGAGAGACAATTCTCTCATGGGATTGGTGAAAGCCTCGATAAAGTCCAATTGCGAGCAAATGGAGTAAGAAGATAGAACAGGGAGGCTAGACTCGTCCGATAATTGATTGAGCGTGGATTAAACATTCATTTAGGTAGCGACAAAAATAGTGAAGAGAAAATTACCAGGAGGAGTAGAACAGGGAGGCCTATTCCAAAATTACTATGCTAAATTCTCTACCCAGCCTCCAAAAAGTGTCGAATTTTTTAAAGGAAGCAGATCCTCTCAGCGGCTTTTCCTCTCAGCGTCCCTCAGCGTCGCTGATCCTGTCCGTCCAATTGATCTTGGGATGTCAGAAAGAGACACATCATCAAGCTTTTAAAATTGCATCTCCACCGTCCATTGTATCATAATCTTGACCGTCCATTCAATTTCCCAACCAAACTCCCAGAGATCGGAGAAGGAAGTCGGAAATGCACAGCCCTCATCGTCATCCACCGGCCGTCACCGCCGTAACTGTTCAATCTTGGACAGATACCAAGTATTCTGTAAATCAGTCAGTCTTGGACACCGCTGGACACTGTCGTAGAGTGCCCATCGTTTCCATTCCCATGGCCTTGAATCAGTTACCAAGCATGAAATTTCCACACTAGTTGTTACATCTCATATGCCGCATAAACTTGTCAAGCTCAAATATTTCATTTCTCAGAAGCTCAGCCATTCCCAAACTGTTCTGTGAAGAACGCATTAAAGGGAAGCTTGAAGACGGAGGACTAGGGAAAGAAATTTTCTCGACAAAAGCAAACGGAAGCTCCATTCTTAGATGGACAGGGATTTGGCAGAAATGAAGAATTGAAGGGGCGGTCAGGATTAGAACAATACCGACGATGGAGAAGCAATTTTAAAAGTTGGATGACGTGTCTTTTTTCTGATCGTTCAGATCGAATGGACGGACACGATTTAAAGCTTCTGAGGGATACTGAGAAAAATGATACTGAGAGAAACCGGACCCCATTTTAAAGTAGGCTTTTGAAGCTTGACCCACCTAACCAGTAGCTTGCAGTGGGCTGGTACCTTCTTTTTATTTTTACAACTTTTTAAATTTAATTTTAATAAAAATTCATTGTATTTCAAAGAGACTTGATTTATGTTTGATTTCTTTTCTTATTATTTTTTAATTTATATTAATGAAATAATTATGTAAAATATATTATGTGTTTATATTTGTAAGTTTTATGGTTAATTTAATTATATAACTTTATGAACATATAGAAAAAATTAGTCTTTATGAATTTGTAATTTAATTTAAATATTAATAAATATGTGTCTGTGGGAAATAATTTAAACAAAGTGGACAACCAAACAGGACGGGTTGAAAAGTTTTCTACCTACCATGAGGCGAGCCAACCCAAAACTCTTGGGTTAGCATGTGTTACCACCTCTAACTAAGAAGAAAAATTTTAAAAATAGTAAAAACAATTATTTTAATATTTTTCAAAGTTTCTCCTCATAATATTCACTACTCATTTTCTTTTCTGTCAAACAACACCTAAGGTGGCATCGAGTCCTGGTATTTTACCCTTTATTGTTAAAAGATAAAAACACCCAAGTTTGGAATTGTGGAGGGAGAAGTAGGAATGATAATGCAGATGCCATTGCATTGTTGGAAGTAAACTCACATGATTTTGTAAAAAGCAAAGCCTTTATTCAAAAGACTAGGATTTGATAAGCATTATTCCACTATATATACCGTGTATGTAGCATTTCAAACATAGAAGAGAACGAACCAAACAATCAAATGGTGAATTGTAAGGAACTTCAAAAAATAAAATAAAACATATATTTAATTTGAAGAGCTGAGATATAGAACAAGCTCACACTAATATGCTTATGCCGCAGAAGATCGAGCTCCTCACGACACACCAAGCCCCAAGAGAAGGAAGACCGCCTATGAAGTATGAATCGTAATGCTAGCGAGCAAGAGTCACCCCTCAAACTAAATCGCATATTGATATTGGGCGCGGTGTATATGTCGTTGAGGAATATAAAAGAAAGAAAAAGGATGAAAAGAAGAAAAGAATATACTCTTCTGGTCCTTAATATAGGACCCAATTATTGAGTTGATTTTGGTCCTAAATATAAGACAAATTTCTCATAGTTATCAATTTTCTCTAAATTACCCCTATAGATACTCCCCCAACCATAATCAAATAAAAGAGGGAGATGAGGTATTAAAAAAGATGATTATAGTGTTTTAGGAAAAATGTGTCATATTTTTTATAAATAACTAACTTACCTAACTTCTTTAATCTAATCAAATTAGTTAAATGGGTCTTATATTAAGAACCGAAAGAGTACTATTTTCTGCTCACACGAGTCACATATGTTCACTTTTTTAAGTTACACAAAGCCCAGATGCTGAGCGTTTCAGTTTAGTGAGACCCTGTTAGCCCGCTAGTGCTTCTATTATGTTTCTTCATATGCTCCTTCTTTTAGTCCTTATTATAAGAAATTAAAGCATGTTTCATCTTATGTTTTGACTAAAGCATTGATTTTTTCCACCTAATATTTCTAACTAATGATAAAAGTTTTTAATTAGCTAAACTTCTCTAACTAATGATTTTCTAATGATTTTTATTGATGTTGTACGCAGTTGAGTAATATAAAAGAAATGAAGAGAAGTAAAGGAAAATGATGGAAAGAATATATTATTTTCTTCACTGTTAAAAGTTATAAAAAACCCAAATAATGACCGATTTAGCATAGTGTTATCTAGTGGTGCTTCTTTTGCTTTTCTCCATGTAAAACTAGCATAATATAGTAAGTTAAAGTATACATTTGGAATATTAAAAAAATTAGTTGAATTAGTTATTTATAACAAATGTATGATAATTTTCTTAAATGTCTTATTTAATAATGTGCATTGGAACTACTTTTGGTGGAAACTCCTTATGATCAATAAAAATAGTTTGAGAAAAAAATTATATATTTAGGAGACAAGGTAATTGATATCTTATATTGAGGATCAAATCAAATTTTTAACTGGTTCTTATATTAGGGAAGGGAGGTAGTGTGTATATATATGAGATACATAAATGGTGATTAACCAAAAACTATTTTAAAAAAATTAAAAAGGTACTTTTAACATTACTGCTGGATCCGGCTCTGCCATCTATTAATGATCACACTAGCTACAATTTTTATGACAATAATTTCATATGTAATATTATTAATTCATTTAGATTTCAGTAATATGACTTTTTTTTTTAATTTGCATCTATAAAGTATGAATCCAAAACTATTCAAGGTCAACAAAAAAAAAATCCAAAACTATGAAACTTAAAGAATATCAACTTCTTCTCATTTGACTTAGCTGGGATTGGTAAAAACGAACATTAATTTATTAATTATTGAGTTTTGCACAACTTTGCAATTTGAGTCTTCATTAACTTTTGGTTGAATTCTATACAATTCTTATGAACTTTTGGTCGTGTGTGTATATGTACAAGTAACTTTATGATATTTATAATTTTATAGAAGTTTTCTGAGCTTTAAAATTTGTCAACTTTTTTTTTTCTATTTTTAAAATTTGAACCCACAATCTCGCTTAACAGATATTGAACCCTTAAGGCACCGTTTGGGTGACACCCCAAACCATGGTTTGGGGACCCAAACCATGGTTTGGGGACCCAAACCATGGTTTGGGTGATAAGTCACCCAAACACCACCCCATTTTGCCCAAACCATGGTTTTGGCTCCAAAACCATGGTTTTGGAAAAAGTAAAATTTTTTTACTTTTGGAGAAAAAAGGGAGAGTGTGAGAGCCTATAGGATATGTATCTTGTTATTTTTTTTATAAACATATTTTTTTATAAACATATTTAATCTTATATTTTATAAATATATATACATATTAATTATTTATTAATTATATTATCTTATGTATTATTAATTATGTTAATAAAAAATATATTATTAACAATTTTATTCCTTCAAATTAAAATATATCATAAAATCTATTTTCTCTGTAATTATCATATTAACTTATGTCTTTTTTTAGTAATTTGTATATATAAAAAGTGCTTCTGATAACAACTATCCAAACACTCTCACTTCTCAAAATCACTTTTTCATAAAATTTATTCTTTCCAGAATCTATTTTTCTCAGAATCTATTCTCCAGAATCACTTTTTCAAACCACGGTTTAGTTTCATCCAAACACACCCTAAGTCTTCTCATCCAATCCAACCATCATTTATGCGTATCTTAGTTTAAAAGCGTTATTTCCATACAAAGTAGGAAGAATTGATTTTCAAGTTTCTATAGTTTTCATAGTTTCGCTTTTAAAATGTAAAATAAAAAATAGTAAAATTTTAACTAAAACAAATTTGAACAAGAAAAATGAAAATAATTAATTAATGAATATTAATTATAAATTAGTATATATGCAGGAAAATAGAAATAATTTGGAAAATAATTCAAACTTAAAAATAAAATGATTTTTCAATTTGAAATAATAAATAATAAAAATAAGATATTGTATGGCTGTAAGACTTGAGGAAAAGGAAAAAAATTAAAAGGACATGGTTAAAATTATATGAAATTATAAGTAGCAAATAAATAAATAAAAAGCTAAAGGGATCCAATTAAAAATTAGATAAAACTATGAGGATTTGATAAAAAGAAAAATACTATAGAAACTTGCTAAATCAATCAGATGAAATTGTAAGAATTTGATTAAAAATGGTATAAGGAAATGATTAAAAATCAAGTTAAATTATATGGAGCAGCACCTTAATTTTCCCTAGTTTTTAGGCAAGTAAGGCTTAAACTAAAGCACATAATGATATTGGGGGTGGTATACATCTAGTTGAGTATTACAAAAGAAAGAAAAAGGATGAAAAAAAGAAAAGAATATATTATTTTCTTCCCACAATAATCAAGTACGTTCACTTTTTAAACTTTCGCAAAACTCAGATGCTAAGTGTTTTATTTTAGCAAGACGCTGTTAGCGCAGCGGTGCTTCTTTTGTTTTTCTTCATATACCACTCCTTTTGATTCTTACAAGAACTTAATGCATGTTCCATAATCTGTTTTGAATAAAGCATTGATTTTTTCCACACTAATATTCCGAACTAATTATTTGTTTTTTAACTAACTAAACTTCCCTAACTAATAATTTTTATTGGGGTTGTGCGCAGTTGAGTAATATAAAAGAAATAAAAAAGAAGTGAAAAAAAATAAAGGAAAGAATATATTATTTTCTTCTCACATTAGTCAAGTATATGCACTGTTAAAAGTTATCAAAAACTCAAATGATGAGCGATAGATCTGGCATAGTGTTAGCCTAATGGTACTTCTTTTGCTTTTCTTCATGTGCTACTAGCATAATGTAGTATATATGGGGGAATCAACTTTGATTTATTTCTTTAAATTTCAGGCATTTGAATGTAGCACTTGAGCTTCAATGATCTGCCTCAGCCAGTTACAACCTCTTGTAGTAAGAAAAAGGCTGTTTTAATTTCACCCATTTGTTGGTGGCTTCACGCTTGCTGCGACTACAAAAAATTTGCTTTATAAAGAGAACGAAGAAAACAACCAATAGTAAATTACAAGGCGTTTTAAAAATAAAACACATATTTCATTAGAAGAGCTCGAGATATAGAACAAGCTCAAACTAAGATGGTTGTGCTGTGGAAGTTGAAACTCCTCAAGATGCAAAAAGCCCTAAGCCAAGCCCGTAGTGAAGCTCCGGCAACAGAAAACCGCCTCCGAATGATGATGCTCTATGTCAAGCACCCTATTGATATTGGATTTTGTAGTTGAGGAATTTAAAAAAATTCAAGAAGAAAAGAAAGAGAAAAAAAAAAGGTGGGAAACATATTTTCTTCTCACACAAGTCAAGGATGATCACAGAAAAGAATGAGAAAAAAAAGGGGGAAAACATATTATTATCTTCTCACACAAGTCAAGTATCTCACAGAAAAGAATGAAAAAAAAAAAAAAAGGAGGAAAACATGGTATTTTCTTCTCACACAAGTCAAATATCTCACGGAAAAGAATGAGAAAAAAGGGGGAAACGTTATTTTTTTCTTACACAAGTATGATCACTCCTTAAGTCATATTAAACACAATCCCTAGTATATTATTAGTTCAAGGGCTTCTTTGTACTCTTCTTTATGCATTATCACCTCCTAACAGTGTCTTACATTATACGATTAAAATGTATCTAGCACCTTGAAAATTTTTTAGATGTGCATTCAGCACTTTAAAATAATTTGTGGTGCAATTTAATTCTAATATTTTAAATGTAGAGCAATCTCACTTCTCTCTTAATAGCTTACAAATGTCTGTTAGCTTCCTCTTATTTTTTCTTTGGCATTAAAGCTTCCTCCTTAAAATGCTTTACCATCGCACCTCCTCTCATAGGTGCCGCCACCGCCGCGTCATTCCCCAATCATATATCTCTTTTTCTCTCAATTCTTTCACCAAACATTAGCGAAAACAGCAAACTACAGTATATTTTTGTTCAGCGCAGTCTATGGAGACAAAAAATTAAAATTATAAGTTTGCAAATAACAGAGAAAGAAGGAAACAAAGAGAAGAATGAAACAAGAGTATGGATCGCATTGTGGCAATGCGTGTGTTGTGGTTATGCCTCTCTTTTGTTCATTCCCCCTAATGTAGAAATTGATGAGAACACATTAGTATATATGCTTTTAACTAATGTTGTCCCAATTCAGTTCAACCAAGCTCATTCCCTCATAGCTCTTTCAAAGAGTCCCTCGCTAATTCATCCTACTTCTTGCTTCTTCCCCATTGTATTCCACTCCTGATCCGTCTCCACTCTCGTTCATCTATAAAAATGTAATGAATGGGCCTTGCATTAATAAGGAACAAGAGGATACAACTATTGGGCCAACA